AAAAAAAAAAAAAAAAAAAACTAAAATAAAATAAAATATTAGGCTTACACATAGGAAAAGCTCTTAATGATAGCAGCACTGGACTTATGTTGTTGCCAGATAAATTTGCTCAGCTCTGTACTGTTGTGTTGCAAAATCGAATGGCATTAGAGATGCTTACCGCAGCCCAAGGAGGGGTTTGCGCCTTACTGCGTACTGAATGCCGTGTGTATATCCCTGACAACTCTCATAATGCTACTCTCCTTGCAAAGCCATGGTGGGTGTAGTTTTTTATTAACTCTGCTTTTAATTCTCCTGTGCTTACCCTGTATCTGTAGTCTATATCAGCTATGCCTTCCCCATGTATCGGTAAGGGTATTTTCCTACAACTGAGTATCAAATTGAGGCCGAATGTGAAGGAAAAGTTAAGTATTAGATTTGAACTCAATTGAACACGGACACAAACAATGGTGACCAACTCCCAGAACAGGTTGTGTGGGCCCCTTGAGGTTTTCATCCAGCGCTGTTTCGGAGAAATCTCTATTTCAATCTATTCCTATACATTACTTATTGAAAAACAATAGTCAATCACAAAAACAAATTGACCTTTTTGTGTTCCTTGAGAGCAGTCAGGAAGGGGCCACATGACTGGACCTCATGCCAAAACACTCATCACAAAAACAGCTAGAGTCCCAGACTGCACTGAAGCCTTATGAGACCTCTCCTTGTCTGTGCGTGGACGAGTGGCCGACTCTGGAGCCCAGGCCATTGATTCCCGGTCTGGTGGTGAATCCTCCATGGTCTGGTGAGTGTAAGTATCTTTTCCCTTCTCCCCTTCCCATTGCAATTTGCTTACTATATCAATCTGCTTACTATATCATTTGCTTATTACATCATTTGCTTATTATATCTACCTTGCCATTTACATGGGATAAAGATTGTTTACCCTTACAGGTATAGTGTGGATGTCCTTGCTTCTCCCCTCATGTTTCCCCACACAGAACATTTTAGGCATCATGAACAGGATTTGAAAAGGATAGTATGCCTCTTTTTGGCCACAAGGACCGGGCTGGAAGCTCGGGGACCTCCTACACCCCGGGATGAGAACTCTCCTCGTTCTCCTCCTTGGCGATTGAATGGTCCAGGGGAACTGGCCTTTGTGAAAACCAGGAATCTAAATTAGTGCACTTTGAACCTTTGGCTGTGCGTGAGGTGCTGCAGGGGCTCCCAGTTAGTAAATAGGACGCTGGGGAATTTCCCGGCATGGACGCTGCTTGCTTACTGCTTATAAGTTAATGTGTCAAGATGGGGACTGGTTGCTACAGAGAAATGGAAGCTGGAGAAGGAAAATGCTAATCTGACTTCCAGACTGGCCCAGGCCCAATGCCAGACCTATGACTTGGCTCATCAGGCTCACAGCTATTGGCCTGCTGCTGAAAAAAGCAACTCTCCTAGTAGAACCGGCAGGGTAAAACTGAAGAACTAACCAGCCAAGCCTCAGAGCAGCTAAAAACCCAGCTCCTGTCTCAAGGACGGGAAATTGACCCTAGTAAATTTCAAGGACCTGCCCAAACTGTCAAATTCCTCGGCATCCTATGGAATAAGGGAAACAGTCCATTTCACCAAAGGCTAAGGCTAAAATACTAGAATGTGCAAGCCCTACCACTAAAAAGGAGGCCCAGAAATGTATTGGCTTGTTTGGATTCTGGAGACATTGTATTCCCCACAGGGTAACATTTCACAACCTCTGCATGGGGTCACCAGAAAATGCTATGGCTTTCACTGGGGAGAGGAAGACAGCATGGCTTTTATACAAGCTAAACAAGTGGAGCAACTGGTCCTGGGTCTGTGGCCCTTACGGGATGCGCCAGTAGGACTGCAAGTAACTGTCCTAGATCAACATGCTAATCGGCGCTTTGGCAAAAACAAGAGGGAACTGGCTGTCTTTGGAGTTTTGAACCGGAAGCTGCCAGAGGCCGACAAAGCTTATTATACCCCTTTCGAAAAGCAACTGTTTGCTGTTGGGCTTTGCCGGAAACAGAGCACCTCTGCTTCAACCATGATGTCTTTATGAGGCCTGAAATTCCTATTATGATTTGGCTCGGGAGTTGCCCCGCAAGTCACCATATAGGGCACACACAAGAAGGTAGCATCGTAAAATACAAATGATACATACAAGACCAGGCTAAGCCAAAACCAAAGGGGATATCACTTTTACATGAGGATGTACAAAACTTGCCAGCTGAGGAAACCACCAAGCAAGTCCTGCAGATAGGGAAAGAAACCCTACCCCTGACATGTCCAGTGAGGCAAACCCTTTAAAGAACTAAGCCTAGAGGATCAGAAACATGGATCTGCCAAATACGTTGGTGGGACCCAATGCTAGAAGGCTGTGGTTTACCATCCTGTCACAAACAAGTATTTCTGATGAAGGAAGGGGTGGGAGCAGCCAGCTGGCTGAACTCGTGGCCATCCTCCGAGCTATTTAGGAGGAGGTCGGAGGGATTTGTTGCTTGTATACTGACTCTTGGTCAGTAGCAAATGGTCTCACTACCTGGATGCCCCAGTGGCAACAAAACAAATGGTTAATTGGGAATGAAGCGGTTTGGGGAAAACAATACTGGGAAGATTTCTGAATCCCGGTGCACACCACCATTATCACTGTTTTCCGTGTTGATGCTCATGCATCTCTGCTTTCTCTCGACAGACTATTTAATCAGCAGGAAGATCAACAGGCGAAAATTTCCACCATAACTGCAAACTTGAATGCGGATGAATGGATTACATGTTCAAGCCTTGCAATCACAGGGATTATAATGTATGGTGGTATAAAGGATAGTGATTACCAAGGAGAGTGAAAGGTCATTTTATACAATACACTCCAGATTCTTTTGCTATAAAACCGCAGATGCAGGTTGCTCAATTGTTAGTGGTACCTTGTCAATAATTAAGCCCCAAGGAAATTGCTGCCCCAATAGAAACAGAGAATTCAGGTCCATCGGTATGGGCAGCTTCAATCCTAGAGCCAAAATATGGGTACAGAGTCCATCGGATCTTTCCCCTAAGGCTGGTGACCTTGTAGCTATGGGAGCAGAAAATGAAGGCATAGTACAATTTCCTAAAGATGAAAAACAATATCATGTTCCCCCCACCCCTTTGTTATTACAGAGAATAACCTGTCTGCTAGGAATCAGTACCCGGGTCACCATATCTGAGGCTGAGAATGACTTAGTTCATCATCAGCCACCACTGCAACAGAAGCCAACTGCAGTCAGTGCTGGCTATGTGTCTAGCTGCTGGGAATGGGCTACCTTGGAGAATCGTCCCTGCTAACATTTCTGAATGGATACGCCAATACCAATAGGGGTGGGATAATAACACCTGTAATCCAACCTGGACTTCCTTTAACCAAACCAAACAGTCTATTTTTGCCCAAGCCCAGAAGAAACACAGCACCTTTGTTATTTAAATTACACATTACAGCCAAACAATTATAATAGCTCTTCCTGTTGCGTGGGGGGCCCTCTGGGTATGCAGATGCTATGAGTGGTGATGCCTGCCCCCACATTGGACGGGGAGATGCACTTGGGGGTGACCACCTGGGACAATATTCCCCTCCCCAGTAACCTAGATGCTTACAGACGTCACTGGTTATGAATGCGCTGGACACCCTGGTGGCGGTACCCTATGACACAATTCTCCCCTGCCGCCAGTACAATCCTGCTTCAGCAACAAATTAAAATATTAAGCTTATATGTAGAAAAAAGGTCTTAATAATAGTAGCACTGAAGTTATGTTGTTATCAGATCAATTTGCTCAGCTCTGTGTTGTTGTGTTGCAAAATCGAATGGCATTAGAGATGCTTACTGCAGCCCAAGGAGCGGTTTGCGTCTTACTGCGTACTGAATGCTGTGTGTATATCCCTGAAAATTCTCACAGTGCTAGTCTCCTTGCTAAGCCATGGTGGGTGTAGTTTTTTTTATTATTAATTGTGCTTTTAATTCTCCTGTATGTCTATCTGTAATCTTTATCAGCTATGCCTTCCCCATGTATCGGTAAGGGTATTTTCCTACACATTTAGTATCAAATTGCAGCCGAATGTGAAGGAAAAGTTAAATATTGGATTTGAACTCAATTGAACACGGACACAAACAATGGTCTCCAAGTCCCGGAACAGGTTGTGTGGGCCCCTTGAGGTTTTCATCCAGCGCTGTTTCGGAGAAATCTCTATTTCAATCTATTCCTATATGTTACTTATTGAAAAACAATAGTCAATCACAAAAACAAATTGACCTTTTTGTGTTCCTTGAGAGCGGTCAGGAAGGTGCCACATGATTGGACCTCATGCCAAACAACTCTTTACAAAAAGAGCTCGGGTCTGAGACTGCACTGAAGCCTTATGAGACCTCTCCTCATCTGTGCACGGACAAGTGGCCGACTCTGGAGCCCAGGACGTTGCTTCCTGGTCTGGTGGTGAATCCTCCATAGTCTGGTGAGTGTAAGTATCTTTTCCCTTCTCCCCTTCCAATTGCAAGTTGCTTATTATATCAATCTGCTTATTATGTCATTTGCTTATCATTATACCATTTGCTTATTATATCTGCATTGCCATTTACATGGGATAAAGGTTGTTTACCCATAAAGGTATTGTGTGTGTGTCTTTTCTTCTCTCACAAGTTTCCCGCACAGAACATTGGCCTCCCGATGTGCTGCAATTATGGGCATGTGCCACCACTCCTGGCCTGTTTCATTCATTTTAGAAATGACCAAATTGTGAGCTGAGCTGGAGGTTGGGGTCTGGTAGATTTCTAAAAAGGAGAAATAGTGATAAGAAGTGTGGGTAAAAGTAAGTGTCCATATGAGAAGTGAGAAATTTGAGGGAAGCAGAGAGAAACCAGGAGAGAGACCTCGGAGGTTGCCTGCAGGGCCAGCAGCATCAACATCACCTGGGAACTTGATGGAAGCACAAATTCTTGGACCCATCCAGCAGGTTAATACGGCAGCACTCAGCTGCTATCCTGGACTTTTTCCTGTTTGTGGAGTCTTGGAAAAGCACTCCTCTAGAGCTGGGGTTTCCAAGGTGTAGGTCTCGAAACTTTTCTGGATAAATCCTGAAGCCAGTTATCATGTCTCTACAGCAAAATCCCACCTCCATAGGTCACCTGGAATTATTAGACTGGTGCAAACGTAATTGTAGTTTTACATTGTTGGAATTTGCTGTTTGATGTTGAAACGATGTTAGACAGAAAGCAAATTCAAGTGCTTTTCTTAACTGAGTTCAAAATGGGTCGTAAAGCAGCAAAGACAACTTCCAACATCAACAATGCATTTGGCACACTGTACCAATAACCATACAGTGCAGTGGTGGTTCAAGAAGTTTTGCAAAGATGAGAGCCTTGAAGATGAGGAGCGCAGTAGCCGGCCATCGGCTGAGAGCAATCATCGGAGCCGATCCTCTTACAACTCCAGGAGAAGTTGCCAATAACTCAGTGACAACAATTCTACAGTCATTCAGCATTTGAAGCAAATTGGAAAGATGTAAAAGCTCCATAAGTGGGTGCCTCATGAGCTGAGCAAAAATAAGAAAACATCATTGTTTCGAAGTGTCATCTCTTATTTTATGCAAAAACAAGGAGCCACTTTTTGATCAGACTGTGACATGCAAACAAAAGTGGATCTTATAGGCCCACCAGTGACCACCAGTTCAGTGGCTGGACCGGGAAAAAACTCCAAACCACTTCCCAAAGCCAAACTTGCACCAAAACAAGGTCGTGGTCACTGTTTGGTGGTCTACTGCTGGCCTGACCCACCACAGCTTTGTGAATCCCAGGGAAGCCATTGCATCTGAGAAGTGCGCTCAGCAAATCAATGAGATGCCCTGAACGCTGCAATGCCTGCGCTGGCATCGGCCAGCAGAAAGGGCCCAATTCTTCTCCACGGCAACGCCTGACCTCACGTTGCACAACCAACGCTTCCAAAATTGAACAAATTGGACTACAAAGTTTTGCCTCACGCGCCATCCTCACGTGACCTCTTGCCAACCAACTACTATGTCTTCGAGCACCCTGACAACTTTTTGCAGGGAAAATGCTTCTGCAACCAGCAGGACGCAGAAAATGCTTTCCAAGAGTTCGGCGAATCCCAAAACACACTTTTACGCTACAGGAATCAACCAACTTGTTTCTTGTTGGCAAAAATGTGTTGATTGTCATGGTCCCTATTTTTATTAATGAAGATGTTTTTGAACCTAGCTATAGTGATGTAAAATTCATGGCTCAAAACCGTAATTACTTTTGCACCAACACAGTGGGAGGGTCCTCTACTTTGGCCTCAGGGCCTTATCGTCAGCAAAGTCTTCCTCCCACCAACAGTACCCATCCCGTTCCCTCCCCAGTGACTCCACCACCTTTGTAGAAAAGGCTCATCTGTAGAACTATGAATCTGGTACTTTCCAAATGAATCACACAGACACTGAAAACAGGTTAGGAGATAACTCATCTCTAGATGTTTTGTAGTTCCTTGGTTTCAATTATCAAAGCACTGAAAGGGAAAAGAATAAAGAGCCACACCCAGGCAAGTTTGTTTTGAAAAGCCCCAAGAGCTGCTCTTATTGCTGTCTTCATTCTCAGCCATGCCCTTAATGAAAGTGGACTCTAAACATAAAGGAGAACAATGCCTTTAGGCTGAAAGGCGCCTCTCCTGGGAAGCCCTCTATCTCAATCAGGTTCCCCAGTTTTAATATTTCATTACACCTTTCTTTATAACACTTATTGCAACTGGAAAATATGTGTGTACATACATTTATTTGCTTAATTTCAGTTCTTCCACTCAAACATATGCTCCGTGGAGGCAAAAAACCTTTTCTATCTTTTTCACCTCTGTACCCTTGGGACCTGCCAGTGTGCAGGTGCCCCCTGGACATTTAAGAAATATTTGCTGGAGGGATAAGTATCCAAAAAGTACTTGGTAATTACGAAATAACCCTAAGACTTTGTACTTCCATTTTTTTCTGAAAAGAAACTGGATCTGTAGAAATGTCATGGCCAAGAGCAGCAAACAGGCCAGCAAAGGAGTCAGGGCCCTGAGAGCTTTGGGCTCATTTTGTTCATGACAGCTCTCAACATGGGTCAAAAAGCCCGAGGGTCAACACCCGCCTGGCACAAAAGGGAAGGAAACTAATTCCAAGGGAAGAAACCTTCTGGGTGTAACTGAGCCATAACCAACACGGAGACCAGAGAAAACTACAGAAGTTGAATTTAGTGTTCATGGTGAGATTTTCCAATGTCAAATTAAGGAACTTATGTCTTCCTGAACTAGATCTAACCTGGGTCAAATCCCAAATGAGTCTCCTAAGTATTTATTGGATCTCATTTCCACAGTTGAGTGGACAACTCTTACCCATCGCTATCCTCCTTCCACACAATGTTGCTAATGGTACCTTCTTCTCCACTTCTTCTAGAACCTTCTCAACAAAACATACCAGAGGAGAGAGCCTAAGAAGATCTGTAGCAGGAAGTCCCCAGTGAACCGTTTATCTGTTTTCTCCACAGATCTACAATCCCAAATTGTTCAGCTGGAAACACTAGTAGGCTTTGTCGCTTGCCCTAAATAAATAAGCTTTGCAGAAATGAACAGATGGAGGAAAATTTCAAAGCAGCATGTGGGCGTTTCAGGCCCAAATCCCATTAACAGATAACAGGATTTATAACAGCAGTTCCCACGCAAGGCTTTGGAAATTTTGAATTTGTGTGTAATAGATTGGGCTCCCTCTCCCCTAAATTATCTGCACGTTGTTCCTGCATTGGGGCCAAGCTCCTTTCTCCAAGCTCAAGAGCCCACATTGTCAGCTAAGAAATGTGTGTATTGGCTGGGTACGGTGGCTCACACCTGTAATCCCAGCACTCTGGGAGGTCGAGGCAGGCAGATTACTTGAGGTCAGGAGTTCGAGACCAGCCTGGCAACATGATGAAACCCCGTATCTAGTAAAAATACAAAAATTATCCAGGTGTGGTGGTGCATGTCTGTAATCCCAGCTACTCAGGAGGCTGAGGCAGAAGAATCCTTGAACCTGGGAGGCGGAGGTTGCAGTGAGCTGAGATCACGCCACTGTACTCCAGGCTGGATGGCAGACTGAGACTGTGCCTCCAAAAAAGAGAAGAACAACAACAACAAGAAATGTGTGTGTTGGGAGCAGCAGGAATGGGGCACAGGCCCACAGGTGGGCAGCACCAAGTGGTCTTTATATTGTTTCTTAATTCTCTCGTTCTTCGGCAGAAGAATTGCAACAAGTTCTGGAGGGGTAGGCGATGGGTTGTGGCACACTGAATCTTGGATCAAAGGAAAGACAACTAGAAGACTGGATGTGGTCAGGAACTGAAAGCACATGGCTGCCTTGTTTCAACAAAAGAAGAGAACCTAGACCCAACTTAATATCAGCATATTGGAATGTACCTCCTGGCACTATCACAAAGGTATTGACACCGTGACTGAAACAGGCCCAAATCACTCAGAGGCAGTCTGGAAAGAACTTCTCATAGCTACGCAGAAGTAGATCTAAGAAACCCCAAGCATTCCTCGATGGGACGGGGAGGACTTGCGGACTGAACTCCCAGAGGGAGCTGTTGACTAGATGCCATTGTTAGTGAGATGTGCAGTTGCTTTATACTCCCCTTCAGTCTGATAGGGGTGTGAAAACCTGAATTACCCTAATTATTAGGACTAGAGTAGAAAGGAAGGCTCTTAATCAGGTCACTGACCACCCTGAAACTGTTTTGATACTTAAGGATAAAAATCCAGCAACAGCCATGGCTCGAGGTTGAAGAGAGCCTGTAAGCTTCCCCACCCCCGCAGCTGACCTGGGTGCAGGTCTCCTAAGCTCATGCATGTCCCATTGAATCACTGTCCTCCAGAAACGCAGAGACACAGGAAGCAGCTTTATGACCAATTCAAGTGGCCACAGAATACAGTATCAGTGAGTGGGGGTTCCAGGCACATCTTATAACCCAGTCAAAATAGCATCCACACCACACACGGATACACAAATACTTCCAACCTGTATCAGCTTTGATTTCCACAAGGAAGCCTTCCTGACTTTCCTGGCTCCCTCCTAAATGTGCCCATGACATCCAGTTCTTCTTCACTGGATCTCCCCTGCCGGTCATTAGGCAATTAATGAGTTTCCATTATATACTTAAAATGTCTTCTTTGCTAGACTGTGAGAGTGGAAAACATGTCTATTTGTCTCACGATGTTAACGCCAGAGCTTAAAAAGTATATGTTAACTAACTCCCAACTAATGGCCTAGAATAGTTCAGGCATTATTTAATAAACAAAGAACTGAGTGAATAAATGGCTGAATTGGTTAACCAATAGCGGTCAATAATGTGGAGGAGTGGATTTTATAACATTTCTTCAAATCGGGGAGGATACTGCATGAAGAGTTATAACCAAAGCCCTAGTCACACACTATAAAATCAAAATCACTATTAACAGGACTCTGTTGGGCTGGATGGGCACACTGACCTTCAAAGTTTCAATGAAAACCCTTGGTTGAAGGTGATAAGCCAAAACCTCAACTTCAACGCTTGTCAAATGCGTATTTCTCCAATCTGGTTTATTTTCAGCAGCCCTGGCAAGCAAGGAGTGCCTTGACATATTTCCTTTGCTGTACCAGATCCCCTGAGAAAATTACAGTATTACTTGTAGTGATGATCACCTGTGGATAACCAGACAGCCATTATTCAAGAATTCAGAATGTATACTCAAAAAGTGTACATGACACTGAATCCTAAATACCACAGGAGTCCAAGAGCAATCTTTGCTCGCTTTACCCACTTCTCTTGAACATACACATACACACTATTTACTAGGCTATATTTATGCTGACAATCTAGAACATGGTAGCCCTAAGTGTATCATTACATATTCATTACATAACTTTGGCTGCCTACTTTTATTTATGTAAAATGAATCAGGCTCCTAGTTGAACACAGATGGACTAATGGACCACCACATATATTAATCTTACTGGTTCAGTGAGGCTTTTGTGTCGATTTAAGAGGGAGTATATGCATTTTCTCAGTCTCTCACACCTGATCAACAGCAGTCATAAGATCAGGTATCAAAGTCTTGGATTCTGGAAGTATAGCACGCTCATTTAAGCTTAAGAGCAAAGGTTGACAGACCTCATTTTAAACCATGTGAGCTTTCTGGTTGTGACGGTTAATTTTTGTGTCAGCTTAACTGGGCTGAGGGATGCCCAGACAGCTAGCAAAACATTATTTCCACCTGTGTGTGTGAAGATGTTTTCAGAAGAGGTCAGCATTTGAATTTGCAGGCTGAGTAAAGAAGATCACCTCACCAATGTGACAAGCACCATTCAATTTACTGAGGCCAGAAAAGAATTTTAAAAATGGAGGAAGGACAAATTTGCCTAATTTTAATTTTTTTTTTTTTAAGAGATGAGGTCTTGCTTTGTTACCCATGCAGGCTGGTCTGGAACTGCTGCCTCAAGTGACCCTCCTACCTCAGCTTCCCAAAGTGCTGGGATTACAAGTGTGAGCCACTATGCCCAGCCATCTCTTCTTAAGCTGAGTGAGACATACATCTTTTCCTGCCCTCAGACATTAGAGCTCCTGGTTCTTGGGCCTTTGGACTCGGAGATATAACAATAATGGATTCCCAATTTCTAAGGTCTTTGGACTCAGACTGACAGATGCACCACTGGCTGCCCTAGTTCTGAAGTCTTCAGACTCGGACTGAATCACCCCATGAGCTTCCCCAGGTCTTCAGTTAGAAGACGGCATATCATGGGACTTTATGGACTCCATCATTATGTGAAGGAACTCCCTTAATCAATCAATCAATCAATCTCTTTCCTTCTCCCCTGACCCTCTTCCCCACACCCAAAGGTTTCTTCTTTTGGCTGAAGGTTATTGTAAAATTGTATTCTGTTGACCACCAAATATGAGCACTGCTTAATTTAACTTTTCTTATTTTGTTGAGATAAGGAAGTACTTAGCCCAGCACTTTGAGTTTTTGTTTTTGTTTTGAGATGGAGTCTCACTCTCTTGTCCAGGCTGGAGTGCAGTGGTGAGATCTCAGCTCACTGCAACCTCTGCCTCCCAGTTTCAGGCCATTCTCATGCCTCAGCCTCCCGAGAAGCTGGAATTACAGCTGTGCGCCAGCACGCCCAGCTAATGTTCGTATTTTTAGTAGAGATGAGGTTTCACCGTGTTGGCCAGGCTGGTCTCAAACTCTTGACCTCAGGTGATCCACCCACCTTAGCCCTCCGAAGTGTTAGGATTAGAGGCATGAGCTACTGCAACCAACCACTTTGAGTTCTTGAACTCATTTTACAAACAAAGTTTATTTCAAGATTTGACCCTATCAGAGCCATTGTAACCTTATCTTTTTCTAGTTTTTACTAAGACTATAATAATATGATTCTAAGTTTATCATTTTTTATTTTCATAGGAGCAATCAATCTTAATTTGGGAAAATAAAGGAGATGCAGTTATACTCCAAGGACAACAGGACTATTTATGGCTGTTATTTTTAATATAGGCACAATGTTGCATTTTTAATGACTTAACCCGCTTAGCATGACTTTGTGGAAAACTTTTGTATTTTCATATGGTGTCCTGAGAGCTCAGACAAAGGACCGTGGACTATGAAATGCTTTGTTAGAGTGGGAGGAGTAGGGAGAGGGAGAATATATGCAAATGTGTTAGGCTATGTGTTTTACACCCAGGAAAAGTTAAGTAAGACAGGCCCTTACTCAATGCACTGCTCTGCTATAACGTACAGCTGGGTTGTCCCAGCAGAATGCTCTTTTTACAGCAGAATTCTAAACATGTCTCTCTTCCTATCACTATTCCGTTGGTGCCATTACTTCTAGTGGTAAAAGCCGCAATTCCTTTTGCGCCAATCTAATATGGTCTACATCTTGAGTTTCCATCACTCTCTTCCATAACAGTGGCAGGCCTAGGAAAACGTGTGCAGTGAGCCCGTTTCTTTGCCCTCCCCCTCTCTGACAGCCCCTCTCCTGATTTGTCATGCCACTCACTTGTTCAGTGCCTTGTTCTTTCACTTTTTTTTTTTTTTTTTTTTTTTTAGCGATTTTTTTTCGCTCTTTTTTGTTTGCGGGGGGCCGTTTTCTGCCCACTGCAACCTCCACCTCCTGGGTTCAGGCAATTCTCCCTTTCTCAGCCTCCCAAGTAGCCGGAACTACAGGTGCCTACCATCATGCCTGCTAATTTTTGTATTTTTAGTAGAGTCGGGGTTTCACTACATTGGCCAGGCTGGTCTACAACTCCTGATCTTAGGTGATCCGCCTGCCTTGGCCTCCCAAAGTGCTGAGATTATAGGCATGAGCCACTGCACCCAGCCCTTTCTTTCATTTTTTGAGCTCTCCAACAAAATCCAACCTCAGAAAGTGATCTGATAAACTCACGTACATTTAGGCATTCATGTCTGAAAACAGATGAACTGGCGACCTCTTCCAGGAGCACTTGCTTGCCGATAAAATAACAGGCTAAGGTCAGAAGAATGATTTTCTGTTGGCAAACTTTCGGGACTCATTGACTTGGGGGCCATGAGTGGAATCACACTTTGGGAGGCCCCATAGTCTACTACCTTTTTGTTGAATGCCTGGTATCCATTTTCCCCACTACCCCAGGTCACAGTTTTATTCATTGTTTCTGCTTTGAAATTCCCTCTCTGATCTAGAGCACACCAACTTCTGTTATCAGAAGAAGAACAGGGTGTAAAAGTCAGCTCCAAACATTTCTTGGACCCTAATTACAGTACAATCAGTCCCAGAACTGATGGTACCCACGATCCGTCTAATGCCAGAGA